GGAAGCATGCTTGTATCTAGGCGATCCATCACAGGCCGAGGATCGTGTAGCGGACCTCGGGTTGGCCTGTGAGACCAGCCCCTTGGCCTGTTCTCACAGGCCTGTGTTATATTCGGGGTAGGCCAGTCCAGGCCGGTACCTCTGTCGGCACCAGCCAGTCCAGTCCAGTCCCGTCAGTCCGCTGGGGTATACCCCAGCCATTGTCTGTTTTCAGTCTCATTCCTCACTTGCACATTTTGGAGTACGTGCGTTGGAGTCTTGCGTGGGGAGCTGCGTTGTGCCATCTTGCTCCCCCTTCTTTCTCCATCTCTATCTCTGTCACTAGCGGAGCACCACACCTGGTGGGTCCGCTATACTTAGATAGTGTAGAATAATCATTTAAGATTTTACGAATATATAGCAGAGAACTTTTTTCATTTTTACAGGTTATTGTCAGATCGTCAGCTAGTGCTCCATTTTTCCTTTGGTAATTATTATGTAGTTCCAATCCTTTGATCTGTTTGTTTTTCTTGATGTTATCTAGTAATACTTCCAGGTGTATCACAAAGAGCAACGGGTCTAGGGGGCACCCCTGCCTCAATGACCGAGACAGGCTAAATTCTTGGGACACATAATTGTTCACCAGAACCATTACCGTAGATGTCGAGTACATAACTGATACCCATCTACAGAAATTTGGGCCAAACCCCATATGTAGCACCGTTGTACCTACAAATGCCCAACCCACTTTATCATAGGCCTTCTCCATGTCTATTAGGAGAATGGCCACATTCCTATTTTCGTGGGCTATTACTTTAAGTGCTTGAATGGTTGCGGCTATATTATCCATTATAGATTTGTGTTTTACGAATGCCCCCTGATCCGGTGCTACCAAATCAGGTAAGTATTTCGCTAGTCTCAGTGCCAATGCTTTTGCTAGGATTTTATAGGAGACATTTAGCAAGGAAATTGGTCTCCAATTTCTGATGTCTTGTTTGTCTCCTTTTTTATAGAGCAACGTAATGATCCCTTTCTGCATCCCTTTAGATAAACAGCCCCCTGTTAGTACCCCATTATATACTTTCACCAAGGCTGGGCCCAAGGCTTCCCACAGAACCAAATACATTTCCACCGGCAGCCCATCAGACCCTGGACATTTTCCAATAACCATCTGTTCCGCCGCCTGCTTAAGTTCCTCCTTAGTAAAAGGACGGTCTAGATCCAATTTCCCTAAAGTTGACAGACGAGCTCCAGACTTTGACCAAAATGGTGAAGTTTTCCTCAGGTCTGTCTGAAAAGTGTCATGTGGTCGTCTAGTAGTCAGGATGTCCTCAAAGTATAGTTGGGCATACTGACTCATGCCCTGTGGGTCTGATTTGATAGGTGCCGAGCTCGAAAAAGGGTGCGACAGTTCTCGGATAAAAGGTTTGGACTTTCTAAGGATAAGTTTACGAAAGGTGTCTCGGTTGAGTCTATCATTCGTAATAATGCCTTTTTGGTGAAGCCACGTTTTCCACTTTTCCTGTTTCACAATTTCCAAGTTGTCCAGCTCGTTGAGCATTCTTTTCCTCACCGCCGTCCAATAGGCATCTGAAATACGATGTTTACCAAATTGACTTTCCGCCTGTTTAACTCGATTAACCAGATACAGTTCCTTACCGTGACCTTCTATTGCCTTTCTTCTTGAGAAGATCTCAAGGTAGTTCTTCATAATGTGCAAGCCTGTGTCAAACCAGGATTCCGTGTTAGTAAACAAGGGACGTGCCCTTTGCCATTTATTCCAGTGCTTATGCGCCCATTCCAACAAATTGGCATCGCCCAAATGTTCTGTGTTCAGACGAAAAGGAACATACTGTACAGGGTAGAGTGGTAAGAGAGTGGCGACGTCTGAAGTAGGCAGAGCTGATCGTGATGAAGTCCATGAAGTCGCCGATGATGTCCACGATGAGAAGTTCGGAATGTCGTCGAGGAAGAGCCGCAGCGTCGACGAGCTGAAGTAGCAAAACTGATGTGGATGGAGTACTGAGAAGTCAAAGACGTGGGAAGGTAAGTCAGAGTCAATCGTCGTATCGAGCAGGACGACGACGAGTGCGCTGTGGACGCTCAGAAGCATCCGGCTGCTGCTGAAGGTCTGCCTCAGATGGAGCAGGCTCAACTTCAGCGGTCTCCTCAGCCGGAGGAGAAGGAGGAGGGTCAGTGGGCTGAGGAGGACCAGTGAACCCAGCACGACGAGCACGGTCATAGGCACGCACCAACATGCGAGCGTGCTCCTCCAAGTGCTCGAGGGGCTCATAGGTAGCCTCCTCATCAGGGTAACCCTTCCAACGTACGAGATACTCGATGTGGGGAGGGTTGTCGCCGGTGACTCGGCGACCAATGATGTCTGAAATGAGGAACTCCTCATGGCCGTCCACCATGATGGGTGAAGGGCGCTCGTATGGTCATCCAGCGAAACACTCAGACGGTCTGCAGTAAGGACGCAGTAACGACACGTGGTAGACATCATGCACACGAGCCTGACGTAGGTAGTCGGGCAGCTTCACACGAAAGCTGACCGGGCTAGATGTCGTATCAGAACCGACGGCCTGGAGGATGCGGCATGGGCCAAAGAAGCGACGCCGAAACTTGCGAAGCATGTCAGCTTCGAGCTGTAAGTGGCGAGCGTCGATAAGTACATCATCACCGACCTTGAATGGGTGATCCATCCTCGATCGGTTCGCACATGCTGCCATGCGAGTCTGGGAAGCGGCTATGTGCTCATGTGCGGTCTTCATAATCGACGTCATGTGTGCAACCCAATCATCCAGAGCGGGACAACTCGTGTCGAGGTGCATCTGGGACGGTCGAAGGAAATCCGCGGGAACACGCGGGTGATAGCCGAGGTCGCAATAGTAAGGCGACATCCCCGTGGCTGGCGAGACGGCGTGGTTGTAGGCTATCTCCACGTGGGCAAGATGGAGATCCCACTGCTGGTCGTCACGAACAATCTTTCGGAGAATATCCCCGAGAGTCCTGTTCGTGATCTCGGCCTGACCATCAGTCTGAGGATGGTAAGACGAGGAGAAGCGGAACTGAGTGCCGTACACCTCGTGGAGCCGTCGCGAGAATCGGCTGGTAAAGCGCGGGTCACGGTCAGATATGATGCTCAGAGGTAAGCCGTGGTCACGCACGACTCGGTCAAATACGATGTCGGCGACCTCACGTGCACTGAYDRCATAGCGGCACRRAACAAAGCGTGCACGCTTCGTGAAGCGGTCGACGACGACCAGAATAGCATCATGACCGCGGGGGGTCGGAGGTCGAAGAGGACCGATAAAGTCCATCGAGATGGACTGCCAACGACCCTCAGGGATAGGAAGAGGCTGGAGCAAACCATAAGGTAGGTGGTTCGCACTGTTCACCTCTTGACAGGTGGGACACTCTGCGACGTAGTCCTTCACAAAGTCCTTGCGCTTCGGCCAGACGTACAGGCGGCTCACATGAGCCAACATCTTGTGGAAGCCCATATGACCGGCAACTGCCTGGTCATGGAACTCTTCTACTGCTCGGACACGTAGTTGTCCAGTGGAGGGAACACAAATATGGGGCTCTCTGGTGCCCTGTGAACCGTGCCAGTACACAAGACTGTTGTCCCCGAGAGAGTAGTTCGGGACGGTCTTGCCACTCCGAAGGGTCGCGTGGATGTCGCGATAGTCGGGGCAGTGGCGGTACTGAGTGCGAAACTCGTCGATSACTGAGTGGTGGACGGTGCTGACCGAGATGGAAGAGAGCTGGATGTGCTCCTGGTCGTGGTCAGGGCGCCGGGATAGGGCATCTGCGACCCGATTAGTCTTACCCTTGATGTGCTCAGTGGTGAAACTAAACTCGGATAGGTCGCGCCACCAGCGAGCCTGTCGAGGAGTGAGCTTCGGCTTTGTCAGAAAAGCTTGGACAACAGAGTTATCCG